AACTTTTTATTCATCAAAAAATCCTGAAAAAAAGTATCACATGTTCCAAAAAAATATTAAGCAGCAACAGTTTCAACACTGATAATAAATCAGCATATTAGAATGATTTCTGAAGATCATGTGACACTGAAGACTGGAGGAATGATGCTGAAAATTCTAAAAATAAATTAGATTTTAATGTATATTAAAATAGAAAAACATTATTTTACATCATAATAATATTTCACAATATTACATTTTTCCTGTATTTTTGATCAAATAAATGCAGCCTTGATGAGCAGAAGAAACTCCTGTAAAAACATTAAAACTCGTTCTGATCCCAAACTTTTGACCGGTAGTTTATACAAAGCTCAGAAGCTTTCACACATTGTTAGGACTGTACTAGAAACACTACTAAAGCAATAGCTTGTGGATGTAAAAGCATGACACTCACCCCTCTCTTCTTGATGGCTTTTCTCAACAGGCCCACAACATCTCTCCCCTCCACTCCACTCGCCTTAAAACCTTTGGTCCAGGACACCAGAAAACTCTGTACAGAAATAAGGGCAACCATGGAAACATGGCAATCTCACAGAAGAGCTGCTAATTTTAGTTTCCCTTCCCATCTCACCTCATCTAGCTTGGTCTGCTGGCAAGGAAACGAAAAGGTAAAGCCAAGAGGCAGCTTCTTGTCTTTGATGCCCAGTTTCTCAAGGAAATTAGCCAAGCATTCAGCGATGTGATCGAAGAGCTGGAAATGAAGAGAAATTCATTTTAAGACTGATTTAACTTAGATGAAGGATTCATTACAATTAAAAGAGTCCTGTGCCAAAAAATACAATTATGGCCCAAAAAAGGTGGATAAAAGGTTTAGGTACAAGAACCAAAGAGATCACGTGCAACCCTAGTAAAGAAGTCATATTTTTAAAATACATGTATTTCATACTAAGTATAGTTCAAATCTATTAACATATTTTCTGACATTTTGCTCGAGCCTTACTGATATAAAAATTATAATTCAACTTTATTTGGTGTTCTAGTGCACAATGCACATTTTTTAATATTAAGCCTAAAATATGTTTTAATGTCACTATTGATGAGGGTTGTACTGTATGATTTTTGAATAATATCAGTCTTTAACTGCAAGATATTTAAAGTTTTCCTAAAGTACAGTTCCACTTTAGCACAATCAAATATACTTCAGAACATCTTTAGTCAGACTTCCGCACAATTAAAAGTACATTAAACACAAAAGTACAATTGCAGAGTGTTTTTATTAAGTGCATAATTATGTATTTGCAGTGGACTTAGCATGAAATAAATGCATTATTTCAAATACATTTTAGTATATTTATTTTTCACAAGGGAAGTTAGCCCAAAGTTGTTATGTTCATCTCACAAGTATAACATTTTTCAGAGGCTATAGACTCATAAGCACAGATGACGTCGGGGGGTCATTAAGATGCACTTTTCATTCAGCACAATGTTTGATTATTTCTAAATTTCATGGCAATCGATATGATTATTATGCAGAAGGATTGTTGTAGCATCTCAAATTGCTTAATATTGTTTGCACTGTATCAGGGAAGCAGGATATGCTTTAGTCTCGTGATGGAAATGAAACAGATTTGAATATGAAACAAATACCACATCTGTTTTATACTTTATTAGGATCTAAAGTGTTCAAGCTGTGATCAAGCGTAGAAAAAAAAAGTGCATTAAAACGGAAACACGATGCACAATGTATTCATTCATTTGGCCTTAGTCTGTAATGACAACGAATTATGAGAGAAACTTTAAACCCTTTAATGAATTAAATTTCTACATCTTCACTCTCAGATTAAACAACTGCGCAAAGTTCATACAGTCAACTTTGCAATTTGCAATGAAGTGTTTCTATTATTAAATACAGTGCAGTTTAAACGTGACAGTGATGAATCATGGCTACAAGACAAAGTTATTTATAATGCATAATTAAACTTTTTTTTTAAAGACCCATAGATAAAAACAGATTGTGTGCCTTTTGTGTTGTTGTTAATTAACGCTAATGAAATGTTCAGAGACACGGTGGCTCTCAGTTCATGCAAAATGCTCAGGGAAAAAAAACGCTCTTATTTTGTTCTAGTTTTAATGAATCCAGATTACTAACACTAAATTAGATTTATTCTTAAACTAATGCATGTTTGTGGTTGTTATGCAGAGCATGCATATGATACATATAACTTTTGTTACTTTGTAATAAGGCAGACTTGAATTAAAGGCATAGTTCACCCAAAAATGTAAACCCTGTCATCATGTACTTATTTGCTGTTCCAGATGATATTAAAAAAAAAAAGGTTTTATTTTTTGATTAACATTGGCTGTATAGACACTTCTCCAAATATCTAGAATAGAAAGTAAGTCAAACGGGTTTGGAACAACATCAGAGTCAGTAAATGATGTCAGAATGTTCATTTTTAGGTGAACTGTCTCTTTAAATATGATGCACCTATTAATGAATCAAGTTTTGCAGGCAGGTTTATAAACTTAAATACGTGCATGACATGTTTAGTGAATGCTGAAGAAAGAAAAGCACACACAGAAACGCTCCTCACCTCTGTCCCGCTGCCCCTCATGATGTTCTCTGGAATAGCGTAGATCTGGTTCTCCATCTCCACCTTTTGCTTCCCATTACTGGACACCCTAACGAGCAGAACTCGGAAATTTGTTCCTCCCAGGTCCAGAGCGAGGAAGTCTCCCGTTTCTGCAAACAAAACCAATGCAAATTTATCTTAAAAGAACTGAAGATCTTAAGAATAAAGAACGTGGTGGTAATCTCAGTTTTGCAACATGAATATTTTACAACAAATGGTCAAAGTTTTTGAGAATAACGTCACATCACGGCATATTTTAAGGCATAAATTCTAAACTATGAGAAAGCTGAAGTTATGAGAGCGAAGTAGTAATGTTATGAAGCTGTAAGGAAAGTAACAACTCTAAAGCACTCTCACAATGTATGAATTTTATTGTAGTCCGTCTCCACAGTTGCATAACTGATTTAACATTAATGAATGTAGTGAATTATCATTGCATTGATGCATTTGCTGTTATTATTGATAAACATTATATGTGAGCCTGGAGCACAAAAGCAGTCTTAAGTCGCTGGGGTATATTTGTAGCTATAGCTAAAAATACATTGCATGAGTCAAAATTATCAATTTTTCTTTTATGCCAAAAATCATTAGGATATTAAGTAAAGATCATGCTCCATGAAGATATTTAGTAAATTTCCTACCGTAAATATATCAAAACTTAATTTTTGATTAGTGATATGCATTGCTAAGAACTTCATTTGGACAACTTTAAAGATGATTTTCTCAATATTTAGATTTTTTTGCACCCTCAGATTCCAGATTTTCAAATATTGTCCTATCCTAACAAACCATACATCAATGGAAAGCATATTTATTCAGCTTTCAGATGATGCATAAATCTCAATTTACAAAAAATTAACACTTATGACTGGTTTTGTGCTCCAGGGTCACATATGTTATTTAACATTATATCCAGTAATGATAAAAAATGACAAACAAAACTAAATGTAAGGGTAAGAACAGGTTCAGGAACAAATAGCAAACAAATAACAAAATAAAATAAAAACAAATATCTTTAACAATTTCACATTACCCATTTTTACAGTTGGAGATTTTCTGGGCTCTTCTGCAGAGTTTGATCTTTGAATATTACTTTAGTGCATAAGCCATGTTAAGCGTAAAAACATTACGGTGCCGTTGTTTTAGAAGTATAGTGTTCATGACGTGAAAGGAGAGCGAAAATTGATTTTCCCTGGTTGTTGTTGTTTTATAACGTTAAGTCATGTTAAGAGTTTTTCCACGCACTTTTGCACGCCATTGCACTACTTTCACGTTCGCGTCTCGTGACTTTTGCAGGACCCGGCGTTCCAGAAAAGCGGCACTCAAGTCAAAAAAAGTTTAAAAATTTAAAAATAAAAAAAGAGACCTTAAGTTTTTTTCCTATACACCAATGGTGCAGTGTTATTTTACATTAGATTTTTTAATTTCTGTACCTCATTGCTATTGTTAGACCTGAAAAACATAAACCACTGTTTGTTTCATTTGTGTCTTTGTTGTATTTCATTTGTTTGTGCTGTTGTTTGTTTTTATTACTGACTGTTCACTTGTCTTCAGTAATGTCTGAACTATATATAGTGAAGGTGGTAGTTTTTGCTATGGCATCAAAATGGGTAAAAAAATATATTCTGGCAGAGCTAGTAAAATCTTTGGCAGTGCAATTTTTTTCATTTTCTATGCAGAGACACCTCCCAACAAAATAAACTATTTAAGTCATCAGGTGAAAACTGCCATATTTTTTTCATATCGCAGTATATTGTGAAAAAAAGTAATATCACAATGTCATTTTTTCCCATTGCCAAACACCCACACTATAATCCATGTTTAAAGACAGTGCTTGTGCATTGCGTTATGACTTGTTTCTCAACACTTTATTATCCTAATGTTACAATGTTTAATGTGGAACTCAAATGCAGTGACCTCCTTGTGATCAGGCAGGCATGTTTCTGAACACTGTTCACTTCCGGTCTGTGTGTTCATGTACTAAATTGTTTCAATTTGCAACTTAATTTCAATAAAAAGTCTCTTTAGACTAGAGGGGAAGTTTAGATTTCTGTAACCTCACAGTGAGGTTACAACGTTGCTTTCTCATGATGATATGACCTCTAAAGAACTAGTCCTTGCATGCTTATCTTTGCCTAACACACTTGACTTTCCACTTTTTTTTAAATGTCTTTCAGAAATTGTTTGTTAAACTAACAAAGCGAGACCATCTCACTTGTTATCCTGTGCAATGTCAGTACAACAAAAAATGACTCTGTGGTGAAGTAAATACAACAGAAAAACAAATGAAAAAGTTAGTTAAAGTAAATTCCACACTGGTACTCAATTCAAGCTTATAGAAGTTAAAGTGCAAAAATAAACGTTATAAAATTAAGTAAAACCTACTCAACTTTTCTGATACTGGTGTTCCCATCATGCACTGGGGCATGAATAATTAACCAGGTAGATTTTTCTGGCTTTGTTGTTAGGTTTAGTAACTTGCGATTTTGTTACATCTGGAGTTCATTTTCTCCTCAAAATGACACATTCGTTCTCAAAAGTGAACAGAATGTTACCATCATTGTGTACCAAGTATTGAAGTCTCTGTGTTCAGATGAGTGCTGCATTAATAATTATGTAGATATGGTGTCTACATGATATCTATTGTATTATGTACTCAGATGTTTCTAAGCAACAAACACTTTAAAAGCATGGTTTAATTAGGTGCTATATTAAGTCAAATCAAAGTATTGCCAAGTAAGCTGTCAAAGTTAAAAAGTTACTTATTTTCTTTGTTAAATTTAATTAACTTAGGTATGTAGATTTTATTTAATTGTATATGTGAAATTGTATATAATTATGTAATATTTATGAATGTTAAGTTTAATAGTAAGTGCATTGTATAGAGCAGTAGCAATAAAATTTACTTGCAAATTGTTACAAAGTAAATCCTACAAGTTATTTTTTTTAGTGCAGGCATCATACACACAACTCATTTAAAATGATACAATATTTATTTATTTATTTATTCACTTTTTAACGCCATAAAGGTTATTTTAGGGAAGAGGATTAGGGCCAAGCAATAATAAAAAAATAAAACCATCTCGAGATTAAAGTCGTTAAATTTAGAGAAAAAAAATTACACAAGTGTTTATTCTCGACTTTTTTCTCGAAATTCAATGAGTTTATTCTCAACATTTTATTTCAACTTTTTTCTCGAAATT